CACTTACTCTGAGGAAATTTGGCTGGGTTCTTTCCCCTCTGAATGCTAGAGATTTTATTATTCTCCGCTAATTTAAATCCCATGCCAAAGGACATAAAGCAATGAAAGATCTACATTGAAAACAAAGTTAAGTGGTTATTAATTCTTTCTTAAAGAGTACATACATGTTGATTAAATCATGCCCTGGAAGAATGTTGATACAGAGATGTCACATGATTTCCTGATAGCCACTAGTGATTTCTGCAATGCCAGATGCACAGTTGAATGATGGAGGACACCTCTTTGTTCCCAGCTGCTCTACTCCCTGGTTATCAGACTGAAGAATGGTGGGCATTCTCACTCGTAAGTGATTTCTCCATCAGTTGAAGCCAGTAAATGCTTTAGGGATGTTTATCTGAATTAACAGCTCTAAATTAAGGCCATATTTTCAAAATTAACTCCTGGGACTAAAGAAATAATAGGTTTTAATTTGAAGCCAAGAAATACAGGCCCAATCAAGCATCTCTCAATGAAACATTTCATGGAAGAGCAAGGAAATCACCTCAACAGAAACTGAGATTTTCACCCCTTGGGTGGTAAAGCTCAGGCAGACAATGAACTATTTTTATGCAGAGCAAAGAGCCAAAAGATAAAGGAAATCTTGACTTATGAGGAGTAGAGTTCTATGTGGGAGTTCCTTTTCATATAGTAAACCACACTATCCAGATGTCTCAAGAAAACCATTCCAAGGACAGAATTATTGCTTAAATGTTACATTTAAAGCAAGAAGAGTCACCCTGGAACCCAAGTCAAATATCCCAGAAAGCAACTTGTGAGTTCCATGAATCTTACAGTTTCAGTTGTTATGACAAATGAATATGTGGGGGAAATGGTCTCGGTATAGTGTACCCATTTCTGGTAGGTAATCTTGTCCTCAGTTTTCTTTATTTCTTTGAGGATATTGACTATCTAGGAATAGGATGGGATGCATTAAATTAACCCTCAGTTTTCCAATCTGCCCCCACTATGCTGCTTCACTTGTAGCTAAAGCCCATCATTCAGTTCTCAGCCCAAGCTAGATAGGCAATCTCCACTCCTGGTGAAGTTCTAGTGGTACGTGTGCCCTGCTTTGAACTTTTGTTAGGTGGTCTTGGTTTCAAGAAAATACTTGGAATCAATAAGAGGATTAACTCTATACAAACATGGGGCTGGATTTGAGACAGATCATCAGATACAACTATCCTACTGCTGGAGATCTATTCTGTTTGATGAGTGTGGTTTGGTTTGGACCAAAGGTGATGCAAAGGGCCATAATTTGGAGAGTGGTCCTCAGCCACATTGTGAGAATGGGCTCTGGGGTCAGCTCTGTATGTGACAATCGTGGTCTTAGGGTACTCTAGTTCTTGAAGGTTTATGTGTCTCAAAACCCTGAAGGCTGTGGAGAGACCTGATTCTCAAGAAAGCAGCTTCAGCTGGCATAGCCGATTAACCAGCACAGTTAGGCTGAATGCCCTCATAGTTACAGAAAAAGAATATTCAAGTTGCTGGTTAACACTCAATAACTAAAAACATCCCTTATAACCCTTTGCACTGGAGCAGTGTGGTAAACTTGAGTCCTGCTAAGCTAAAGAAGCCTTTGAAATGTATCCTTATTAATCTTTCCTCCCGAGTTCTGACCTCCATCATCTCTCGGTCCAGGGCTTTACTCCTAATATTTTAACATTTAAAAATATTTTTTTTTTACTTATTTGAGAGAGAGTAGGGGGGAGGGGCAGAAGGAGAAAGAGAGAATCTCAAGCAGGCTCTGCCCTCAGGGAAGAGCCCAGTGCAGAGCTCTATCTCAAGGCCTTGAGATCATGACCTGAGCCAAAATCAAGAGTCAGATGCTTAACTGACTGAGCCACCCAGGTGCCCCACTCACTCCTAATATTTTAATTCCTGAAAACACTCTCTTAGTTCATGTCTCTGCCTTTTGGCTCTCTGACCTTCATCTATTCCATAAGTTCTTTCTAAATGGCTCTCCTTTAAAAAACCCTGGGAGGTTTCTCCCCCAAGCCCAAAAAGACTTAATGAGTGTAGTGAAAGCAAAGATGTGAAGTGATAGAAATAGAATATATTGGTCTCTGCCCTCAATTCCTGGCACAGAGTTTCTAAAATTCTTGTAACTTCCTAAGTGATAAGAACACTAGGAGCATCTTTTGTTCTAAGGAGGCAACTCTGGGTAGGCTCCTTGGAGGGGTTGGACACCAGAAGGACCAAGCAACAATTCAGGGTTTGGAATTTTCAACCCCACCTTTCATCCTCCAGAGAGGGAAGAGGGGCTAAAAACAGAGTTAATAATTGATCATGTCTATGTGATGAAGTATCCATAAAATCCCAATAGCATGCAGTTCAGAGACCTCCCAGGCAGGTAAATATTTCCACCCTGGGAGGGTGATGCCCCCCAAGTCCATGCAGACTGATGCTCCTGTGTTCAGGACCCTCCCAGACCTCACTCTAGGTAGCTTCTTCATCTGGCAGTGCATGTGTGCCTTTGTCATGTCCTTTAGTCAACTGGTAAAGGTAAGTAGGTGTTTCCCTTAGTTCTACAAGCTACTCTGGCAAATTAGTTGAACGTGAGGAAGGGCCCGTGGGAAACTGCACTCCGTAGACAGTAGGTGAGAAGCACAGGTGCCAGCCTGAGCAGTGACTGACATCCGAGTGAGAGGCAGTCCTGTGGGACTGATCCTGTAAGCTAGGACCTGATGGGGTCTCCAGGTAGATAGTGTCTGAACTGAGTTAAATTGTACGATGCACAGCTGGTGTCCAAGACTTGCTTCTTATTGCAGGGTGGGGGACTTCCACACGTTTGGTGACCAGAGAGTCAGAAATGAAGTGTTTTCTGTTCATCAAGGAGACTCACAGGGAAGAAAAACACAGAAAGAACTCTGTTTTCTCCTACATGGGAAGAGAACAACTCTTATTCCTTACAAAGTACACTGCCATGAGAGTCAGGTTATTATGCTTGAGGTCTGACTCCGCTCTTCATCAGAAGTGCTGCGTTCTTGTGCAAGTCATTTAATCTCCCCAGGCTTTGTCTCCTTGTCCACACAGTGGGGGCAACAACACCTGTCATAACTAGCATTTATGGTGCTTATAACTGAGATAATGAATGTGAAAATTCCAAAGTGTTACACTGTCTGGATTCAGCAAGAGAAATGTTAACTATCAGTTATAATATCTCACATTTATGGAGCACCTACAATGTGCTAGATGTTGTTATAAATGCTCTATAAATATCAATTCATTTCATACCCAGAGCAACCCTATTTTATAGATTGGGAAGTAGAGAAGTTGTACCCACATCACATAGTTGTCAAGTGGTAGGACTGGGTTATAAAACCAACAGTATGGCCCCAGAGGCTCTAGTCTGTAAAAAAAAAAAAAAAAAAAAAAAAAAAAAGAAAGAAAGAAAGAAAGAAAGAAAAAGATGGGGAAAGGGAAGGAATCTCTTCTGACATAATAATTGTCCAAATAATTGGTGGTCTTTCTCTAACAATTACTTATTCAAAAATTTATATGTGTGGTGAATATTTACAGATTGTATACTATGTGTCAGGCATTTTGCTACATCTTGGAAATTCAAGGAAAAGTAAATGTAATTCTAAAGGGACCTGAAAGGACACTGAGGCTAGTGATGGGCAGAGACCCCTAAATGGTCTTGGATGAGTGCTTGGGGGCCATGGAGGGGCAGTCAGCCAAGCTTGGTGGGATCAGGCAAAGCATTCTGGTGAAGGTGATACTAGAGATGAGCTATAAAAGCAAGTAGGATTTAGCCAGACAATCACTGGCAGGTGGAAAGAGACATTTTAGGAAGAGAGAACAGTAAGTTCATAATTAGGATGGAAAATAGAACATGCAGGGAACAACCAGACCACAGTTGTTAGAATGTGATCCCATGTGGCTAGAGACCTGGTCTGATTATTCACCACCATATGCTCTGGCACTTCCTATTTGAATGCAAGACTTGAAAGGGCAGAAAACTTGTCTGTTTTGGGGCACTATTATATTACCAGTTCCTGGTGAAAGGTGGTGCTCAATAAATATTTTTCAAAAACATACATATATGCATGGATAGATAGTATGTACTAAATAAATACTTCCGGGTGAATCATTTAATAAATGAACAAACAGGGATTATCACTACAAAAGAGGCCGGGCAAGTTTCTAGCTTTCATGTATACTGCATCAAATATAAACCCAGTCAACTATCAATCAAACTAATTTGAACTGGATCATGAAGTGCCTTGAGTGCCATTCCACAATCATTGATTCTTGGACCTTCTGAGCCCTGTGATGATCTTTTAAAATGCTGGATAGTGAATGCATAGCACTTAGACTCACAGATTGAAATGATTTTGGAGGAGAAAGTTATGCAGGAACTTGGAGTTCAAACCTTACATTATAAAGATGAGGAGACCAAGGTTCGGCAATGTTAGCTGAAATGACCAAGGTTATATAGTTATTTGGGGCAGAGCAGAAGATAATCCCACTTTCATTCATCAAATTGCATGAACCTGTTTATGTAGTATCCAAAAAAGGCAACTTAGACTTGAACTTTTTGCTACCTTCAATCTTGCATTTGAATCTCTGAATTCATTAATAGCTATTCCCAAAGAATTTTAGTAGAATTTATGGCTGTTACTGATAAGTATTCACACTTTGTAAAGTAGTACAAGCAAATGTCAACAAAAATCCTCATCTCGAGCTTCCGTTTGTTGAACTCTTATTGTCTACTAAGTGTCAAGGGTGCAAAGATTAATAAGATCCAGACTAATTTCTAACATCTTACCAGTTCTAAAATACTATGGTGCTCCATCCTATTTTCACATTCAGTGTGTCCTAACTTAGTTTGGAGGGCAAATTTCCATGCAATAGTTTTTTTTTCTTCTTCTTCTTTTTAATGTTGCTCAATGTTTTTGTCTTTATGGAAGGGATTCATAACTCCACAAAAAGTTCATGCTTACTTGTTGGATGCTCCATGAAGGTTTGTCAGTACAGTAAAGTTGTTTCTCACACTTCGCAAGCTGGCAAGGACCTAGAAGGACAATTATCAGGATGGTTAGGAACAAAGGGAGACCAGTGGGCAAGTTCAGAGGCCACAGAGAAACTGCACGTGGGGCAGAGGGAGAGCAAGCCAGGGTCAGCATGATACATACCTGGGCAAAAGGTGTGACAATCAAGTCATCGCCATGTCTGGTGAAGAGAGAGAAACAAACATTTAGAAACGAATTTGAATTATAACTATGACATAAAAGTTGTAATATTAAACTTTATCAGTGTTAGCAACACAAATGTTACACAAGTCTTTCTACCTGGATATATGGCAGGACTGATCTAGGCATAAATGGAAACCCTAAGAACTCGAAAGAGAAAAATACCAGGTTCATGGCTCCTGGGCTTGCAGTGACACAGAAAAGCACTTGCAAGTAAGCGTATATCCTCAGGGTACATTCCCATTAAATAGCAGACCCAGAGTACTGTAATTCAAAGCGACTTGGTTGCCAGAGCCAGGAAATTCAAAGGGAAGGCTGCTCACAGGCACACACAGAGTTGGAAAAAATGGCATAACAGTCTGGATAAAGGTTAACTTTGGATTTCCTGGCTTTTGTTGATTTGAACCACAGTCTTAATGCCATTTAAACACAGATTTCTGTCTGGGAATCCCATTACTTTTTTTTGTTTTTAATATAACTTTTTTTCTTAAAGTACCCAAGGAGAAGCTTTTAAGATGGGAGTGTATAGACTGAGCCTACTATTAACCATATCACTGTTGCTCATTTTGTCCCAAAGATCTGATGAAGATATACCTAGTGTTACGTAAATCTGTACTTAGGAAGAGTCAAAAGCATGTTTTCAGAAATGCACTCTCTCTCTGGCACATGCTTTGATAAATCTACTTAAGCCCATATTTGGCAAGCTCTTCATAAAGTCATTAGAAGACACATTGTTGTTCGTTGCAGACACAAAATCAGGCCAATTTATTATTTGTGAATCGAAACAGCTGCACAGAAGTTGACTGACAACGACCTTCTTTTACTGTCTGATCTTCTCTGTCCTCATTGCCATATAAATATGACACCTTATAATGTGAGCACAACCAATGATTATGCAGCACCTGCCTCAGTATCAGGCATTACATGTGATGTTGAGATGCAGAGCTCACGTGGGCCTCTTCTCTAATATGGACGCACCTCTCTGGGGTCTTATTTAATATAATACTTTGCTTTCTACCTTCATCTTTAGCTAGAAGTCCCCCTTCAATTCATTCCAGTCAAGTTCTTGTGCATCTACTGTGTACAATGACTACAAAAAGAATACTGACGAGAGCATTCTTTGCATGATTACCATAGGTCAGACCCTGCGCTAAGCACTTTATGTGCAATATCTCATTTAGCTCTTTTAAGAAGGCTTAAGGCAGGTTACTCGTAATATTCCCATTTAAAGATGGTATCAAGGCTTAGAGAAGGTAAGCTACTGCTTAACCAGCACATCGTAAGTGGAAGAGCTAAGACTGTTTTGTAGCCAAAATCTGTGTTTTTAGCCGTTATATTACCTATGTTATGATGACCCTACATAGCTGGCGTATTGAATTATACAGAGTCCATGATACCACCCTCCCCTCGCCCCTGTCCAACCCGCCGTTAAAACACAGTAGGGGATACAGAAAAGACCGCAATAGATATAGAATGAGAAATACAAACACCTAATGGGAAAACTTAATGGGTTGTATAGGAGAGGTAATAATTACAAATTAGAGGAAGTAGGGCAGGCTTGATTGAATGAGTGGTTTTGAGATGAACTTTGAAGGGCAGGCTTTAAAAAGCATGCCACCAATGAGAAATGGCAAGAACAAAGGCATGAAATGGGAAAGTACTGAGCATGCTCACTGAGATGCCTGGTGGCTATTTGGGTAGATTTGAACACACTACCTAGAGACATTTTTAGAGGATATGATTAGAGGGTCCTTCACACCCATCTTACGGGTGGTATAGACCATGTCATAGAGGTGGTGCATAACTCAGAAGGGAGAAGGGAGTTAGTGAAGGTTCTTTGTGAGGTAGACAAATGGAAAAGTGCTTTAGAAAGGAAAATGCTGCAGACACTAAGAGACAGATCAGAGAGAAGACAGAGTCAGGAAGAATGGTTAGGGGGATAATGCAGTCATTCAGACAAGAAGAAATTGGTGAAGCAGAGGAAGAAAGAGGAAAAGACAGTTTGAAGAGACCCTAAGTCTTGCCAAGGACTCAGCATTTAATTGGCTAAGGGGTCATAAAGAAATACTAGTCCAGTTTAAAAGATGGGTGAGAGGGAAAATAGTGAAGTCGTAAGCAGAAATAAGAAAGTAAGGAGAAATTGGGCAGGAGACATGTCACTTTCCCACAAGCTGAATTTTAAGATCCTCATTGATATCCCAGTGGAGACATCAAGCAGGAAGACGGAAATATGGGAACTGGAGCTACACATTTCAGAGTGGGGAAAGTTAAAGCAATGGCAAGGACTGGCTTCTGGAGGTGGGGAAATATAGAGAAAGAGAGAAGCCTCAGGGTTCTTGGAGAAAAGCCAAAGGAGACAGAAGAAGGTGCTGAGAGAAGCAGTTGTGATAAAGGCAGGGTGGTGAACTATACCAAGAACTGCCCTTTACCAAACCATTTTCTTGAGATGAACTTTACATGGGTGAAATATCTTGCTATTTGTTCTAATTTCTGCTAGGAAGTTCACATTGTTCATAAGGGCCTCAGGATGAGTTGGGGATCTAAGATAATGAAGCTAAGAGTTAAGTAGATTATCTAAGGCTCCTAGATTTTGGGAGTCTAAATACCCAATAAAAGCTAACCATGTAACAAAGACAACCTACAGAATGGGAGAAGATATTTGCAAATAACATATCAGATAAAGGGCTAGTTTCCAAAATCTATAAAGAACTTATTAAACTCAACACCAAAGAAACAAACAATCCAATCATGAAATGGGCAAAAGACATGAAGAGAAATCTCACAGAGGAAGACATAGACATGGCCAACATGCACATGAGAAAATGCTCTGCATCACTTGCCATCAGGGAAATACAAATCAAAACCACAATGAGATACCACCTCACACCAGTGAGAATGGGGAAAATTAATAAGGCAGGAAACAACAAATGTTGGAGAGGATGCGGAGAAAAGGGAACCCTCTTACACTGTTGGTGGGAATGTGAACTGGTGCAGCCACTCTGGAAAACTGTGTGGAGGTTCCTCAAAGAATTAAAAATAGACCTGCCCTACGACCCAGCAATTGCACTGTTAGGGATTTACCCCGAAGATTCAGATGCAATGAAACGCCGGGGCACCTGCACCCCGATGTTCTAGCAGCGCTAACCATGTAAGCAAATCTCATACACGTGTAGCACCTAAAGCTGATGAATTGTTGCATGAATGAGAAGTTACCAAAAAGGTACAAAGCAATGATTTAAGGGAAGAAAACACTAAGGGGGCACCATGTCAGCATGACTTTATAATCATGGAACTTTTGAAGTTTAGGAAAGCAGAAATCAGGACACCTGGGTAGCTCAGTGTTTAAGCTTCTGCCTTTGGCTTAGTACATGATCCTGGGTCCTGGAATCGAGTCCCACATCGTGCTCCCTGCAAGGAGCCTGTTTCTCCTGTCTAAGTCTCTGCCTCTCTCTGTGTGTGAACAAATAAATATAATTTTTTTTTAAAGGAAAGCAGAAAATTCAGAAACAAGAGATGGACTTGCAGGTCCCAGTGCTGGTTCCTTTAAAGGATTTGAAAGGCAAAACTCATGCTGTACATCATATAATAGCTGCTAGGGGAATGGATCAGACAATTTGCAGGTAATTTATAGCAAGCATAGGAAAAAAAAACAAAATTCCTATCTGAGCACAGCCAGATTATTTATTAAACTATTTAAAATGTTTAATCATAATTTGATATATTAATAATTACAATAAAATGGCACAGAAATAATAAAATTTATTATGATTAATTATGAAAACTGATGTACTTAGTTTCCCAAATGGCTAGGGAGGGCAATACCAGATGTTCAGAACCATGGCATGAGCAACATCTAGTGACAAAACCAGCACATTACAACTTTGTAGAATAATTGGTGATGACAACTATAGGTCTTCCAGGTCTGCACTAAACAGTGAAAAGGTTTTCTAGAAAGTAAAAATGCTACTTCCTTTGGTATGCCCTCTGGATTCCATTAATTTTGTCTTTCTCTGTTTCATACCTACACATAGAATTCTACTTGTAACGCTGATTTTACTCTGTCCTACAGATAGACATATACTACGGTGGTCAAGAACACAGATTTTGGAGCCAGACAGCACTGGTTTGTTTCTGGATTGCACAATTACTAGCTATTAGACACCAGGCAACCTCTCTAGGTCTCAATTTCTTTATCTGTAATGTGGTGTGTTGTAAGAATTAAGTTAGTTATTGTACATGTAAGCATTTATTCATTTAGTCATAGTTATTCTTGTTAGTAATAGGTATCATTATTATTATAACTTTAATATTGCATGTCTATCTCCCCTACTGGTGAGAACTCTGTTGGAAGAGTCATATCCTCCCCTCTTGCAGTCAAAAGAACTAATATTGTACTTTACAGTTTATAAAGCATTTTCACATACATTATTTCATGTGACAAGAGAATGTTCTTGACCCTAAAATATGGCGCAACCACCTATCTTGTTGGTCAAGCCTGAAACCTCCCCCCATACAACCACCAACCCCTGCTTATGCTAACTTGCAAATATTTATTAATTGCCCACTGGATCTCCTCTAATGTAGATCCCTACCCTCTATTATGTGGATTACCAAAGCAGTCCTCCATCTGGCTCTTGGACACTAGTCTTTAGGCTTGTCCACCATCCAAACCACTCTTTTTTTTTTTATAAATTTTTTATTTATTTATGATAGTCACACAGAGAGAGAGAGAGGCGCAGAGACATAGGCAGAGGGAGAAGCAGGCTCCATGCACCGGGAGCCCGATGTGGGAGTCGATCCTGGGTCTCCAGGATCGCGCCCTGGGCCAAAGGCAGGCGCCAAACCGCTGCGCCACCCAGGGATCCCCCAAACCACTCTTGAATGTAATCAGAGCTATCTTTCAAAAATATTCATTGGATTATGTATTTTCCTGCTTAAAAGCCTTTAGTAGCATGGTGCCTGGGTGGCTCAGTCAGTTAA